CACATCTTGTGGATTGACTCTAGAAGAATCAACATATTCCATAAGCAACATCTCTTCTGATTCTTCAAGCTCAACATAATTTGCTTGCTTCCCTAAATTTGGACACTCGTATTGATAGTGTCCTAGCTGATGGCATATGTAGCATTCACTGGTCACCCTGTTGTAACTTTGTCGACCCCTGCCTCTGCCTCTTCCTCCTCTGAAAGTGCTTCTTCCTCGTCCTCTTCCACCATTTCTTCCATCACAGGACACCTTGAGAGTATGTTCTTCGTCTCCATTTTTCTTAAACTTTTGCTCATGGACAAGAAGAGAACTCTACAAGGCATCAACAAAGAGTTCATCAATGCCATTTGACTCTTTTATGGAACAAACTATATAGTTCCATTTTTCAGTGAGGGTTCTCAAGATCCTCTCTATGATCTTGACATCAGCCATATCCTTTTCATAATTTCTCAAATCATTTGCAATCATCATCACCCGACTAAAATAATCACTGATTGATTCACCTTTTTTCATAGCTAGGACCTTAAACTCTCTACGAAGGCGGTTGAGTTGAGCCCCTTGAACTCGAGCAATCCCTTGACATTTCATCTTCATGGAATCCCAAAGGGTTTGACCCAAGTCAAGAGGGTCCAAAGTCTAATGTAAACCCTAGATGTGTGTTACAGGGAACCAAAAATGGATCAAAGCTCAAAAGATTGAAAAAAGTGAATTAAATCTTTCTATTCATAATATTCAAATACTTTGGATAATTGATTATACAAAGAAGAAGGTCCAACTACATTCAAAAGTCCAAAATTTTTAACTAAATATCAAATCAAATTTCAAAAAGCAACAGAAAACAAATCAAATCTAACAATTTTTTTTTCCTAAACTAATTCAATTAGACATAACCACAAACCCTATTTCAGATCTATAAAAGCCCTAATACTAATCCAGAAAAAGGGACAAAATCCTTGAGAAAGAAACTCCAAGTGTCTATGAGAAATCCTAACCCCCATTAAAGCTCTTCATCCAAATAAGCAATTAGGATTTCAAACTGAAACCCTAACCGCTTGAGCTAAGCCTCTACTTCCTCACCTGCAAAGAAAAAGAAAGAGGAGAGGTTAGAGAAGGCAAATAGAGGAAGCAATCAGACAAAAAAAAGCAAAGAAGGAGTAAGATGCAACTTAATAAGGTCACGGTAGGGAAGGTAAATCCTTGGTATCTCTCTTTTGAACCGTGTGTTTATATATCTCATTTTTTATTTTGTTCTCGATCTGTGGCTTATGTGTTTTGATTTAGGGTTAAGGTTCAGATTAGGTTTTATTTCTGTTTTAGGGATTTGGGGTTGTGAGGTTTGGTTTGGGGTCTTAGGGTTTGCGTTATTTTGATTTTAGAATTTGAAGGTCAGATTCTTGTTTGCGATGTTGGGATCTGTAGTTTAAGGTATGTTAGGGTTCGATTTAGGTAGGTATTGTGGGTTCCTAGATATTTTGGGGTGGATGTGGCCAGAGAAGATAAATCTTCATCTTCTCCGATGAGTTCATACGATGTTCAAGTGGCGATGATGGTCGTCTAGGTTTCAGGTTCTGGGTTTTTTGGGTTTTGGTTGAGATTTAACTAGAAACATGGGTTTTGTGGTGTCCTACAGTGGTCCTAAGGGCGGGGGAGATCTTCAGTAAAGGGGTGTGATGGTGGCTCGGGCTGAGGATGAGAGACAGTTGAGAGAGGAATTGAGAGAGGTTAGGTTAGAGAGAGGAAGAAATGGAAAAGTGAGAATTTTTTTAAGGGAAAATGGATAAATACCTCCATCCAATGTGTGTTGATCATCAACACGTGGCCCTTAGTTGACCACATGATTGATATACCTTGACCATTCCAATATATACATGCATACCGTATCCCTTAGTTGACTTGCAATATGGGGCGTCTGTTCCTCATACTTCTTTGGTAAGCCCATCCAATGCATATAAGTCAATGCATCTGGACCCCTTAGATCAATCCAGCGCTTCATATCTAAAGTCAACCTTGTGACTCTCTTCTGACCCTACCTTAGTGAAGATAAGCCCTATATTTATATGAGAAGAATTGAATAAAAAAGAAATGATCCGTGAACATTTTAATGTTCTAATCGATTAATTCTACCAGTTAGTTGATTAGACAACCTAATTATGGAAGGTTTTTATTACGTCATATTTAGTCTATTAAAAGCTTTTTTAAACAATTTGGAGGCGTTACAAATGAGTTAGATTAACCTTAATGTGTTAATTAATTAACCAATCTAAAAAGCACTCCTATTGATTAAACAAGTTAATAATCAATTAAGTACATGTGTAAAAATATTTTAAGGTGTTTTATCAAATAAAATAGGCTTCAAAACATATTTGAGTGTGTGTGTGTGTAAGCTTACTTAGTATCTTAAGAGTTACTTTTATACCTTTACATTTAGATGATCACTCATACACGCGCTAAGTGCAAGACTAGATAAGCTTTCACACTTCTTTTCTTTTATACCTTTGAAGCTTCAAGTTCCATTGCTTGATTCAATATTGATTATCCTTTCATATAGAACTTTAATCTTCTAACTGGAGAGGCTTGAGAAAATTTATTTGATAAGACGTCATCATAAGAGGTTGTTGGAGAGTTGTTACCAAAGACTTCGCCGAACTCTGTTTGACCTTAGGTGTTGTCATCACTGAAATAACTTGATATTTGATCTTACAAAAAACATCTTGATCATTGAATCTTCTTGACAAGTAAAGACTTCACATAATATCGTTTTACATAAGGTGTTGTCATCATTAAAACTAACAAGATCATCCGACATTTATAGATAGTTGTACATGTAAGCACATAGAGTCACATTCTCCCCCTTTCTGATGATGACAATACAAGTCTCAAGAAGGTAGTAAAATATAAAGTAGACGGATAAAATATTTGAGTGGTTGAACTCCCCTCACAAATATAGAAGGTATATCCTACTCCCCCTAAGAGTATACTTTCCTCCCCACCATTATAAAAAAGGCTGGAAAAATGAAAAGATAGATAAAAGTGCAAGCATGTAGATCATAAATAATCATTTAAGAAATAAAACAAAGATAGATTATAGAAACATCATTTATCAAGAAGGGAGAAATTACCAAAGAGGAAGGGTACTGAAAGCAAACAAGAAGAAAAATGGCAACAAGCAAATAAAGCAAGCAAGAAAGCAAGAACTAATCAGTGTCCTCATCATCATCATCATCATCATTAAATAGTCCAGGTTGTAGTGACATTTTGGTTTCATCAAGCTTGGACGTCAAGTAATCAATCTTCTTATTTGTTTGATTATGCGTTTTGAAGATGGTGTTAAGGAGAGCTTTAGTAGGAAGATTATAAGGGATATCATAATCAAAATCCTCCAAATTTGAAGTTCCTCCTTGCTGAGGTGCTCGGTGCTGAGGTGAAGCTTGTTGTTTGTAAGCAATTTCCTTTTCTTTGGGAGGTTTATGCACGACCACTCCATTATTGATGATGGTCATTCACATATACCCCAATGCATGCTTCCCTATTCTTATTGAGTTTCCAACAAACTCTTCTTCTTTAAGGTTGAGGCTAATATGCTCTAAGATTTTCGTGATCAGAGCACGATATAGTAACCATATATTCCCATTCCTCCCGCTTTCCATCACGTGACAAATCACTCCACTTGCCCAATTTGTTTCAAATTTATTAGCTAATAGTCAAGTTAAATTAATATCAATTTTGGATGAAGTTATTCTTGAAAGTGTGCCACCAGAAGATCTCTTACTAGGGCCTTGCAATAATTGGATGTTACATGTGTGGCCACCAAAACGAAGGTTAGGTTAACTAAACTCTTGAAAGTGTGCGGCCCAAAAATCTTTTACTAGAGCCTTGCGATGGACACCAATTGTGCTTGTTGTGAGGACAGTATATACCTTATTTGAGATAAACAAACATAAATTGTATGTTAATGATTTATAAAGAAAGTGATGCTTAACCCAATCTTAGAAGTTGAAATATATAACTCTTCACGACTCCATCAAAAAGCATGGTGTGAGTGAGTCATCTTCAAAGATCTCTCATGACGTAAAGAGGCCAACCATATGCTTAACACTTGTTCATATTATCGAATCTTATTTTTATCCTACTTATGTATTTCATGTAATCATAAATTAAATTGCTAAAATCATTGACCTTTATATGAGCTTGAGCTAAAATATCCATAAGAATCCATTTTCCCTCAAACACAATGCTTGTAAGGATAAAATGGTTAATAAAAAAAGATAACGATCCATAATCTCAAACACAAAATATATAAAAGTAAAGTGATTAACAACAAACATAACCCTTCAAATACAAGGTCTATAATAAGGAAGTGGTTAAAAAGAAAGATAATGGTCCATCTATGAACCAAATGTAAAAAAAAAAACATTTTTTAAATAAATTGTACTATGATTAAATTCTTCACTCACATTTTGAAAGGATAAGGATATTGGACCCGAGTTTCACCGGAATACACTGGCACCAAGGCACGATTCATGCAAAATTAAACGAGTTGAAAGATCAACAGATAACACATTGAATTGACATATGTACCGTAAGGATTCTTGTAAATGTAAAACTTACTTGACTTAAAATTTACTTACAACATTTAAAATAACAAACTTCGATAAAAATTAGAATTAAAAGTAACAAAGCAACACAAGTGATGAGTCTTAGGTAGCACGAAACACAAGTATATACATAGATACATACATACGGATATGCATATAGGAAATAAAAGAATCCAAGTTGAAGTAAGTAGTCATCACTTATATAAACAACGTGTCTAGCTTTCAACATTTCACAAACCAGGTGTCTCACTTCCACATACATCTTCCATTCTTATAAGCTCATCACTCAAACTCCACACTCTTGAAGAATCTTCTTGATTGTGTAAAAGAGTGTTTAACAAGATATAATTATTCTCAGTTACAACCTCAAAAGTGAAAGAAAATTGAAGGACTTAACCATTAATGGCAACCAGAAGATATGCGGTTGGAAGAATGGATGAAGCAAACCATCCAGACTCCATAAGAGCTACCGTAGCTGAATTCTTCTCCACTTGCATCTTTGTCTTTGCTGGAGAAGGCTCCGCCCTTGCTCTAAGTTTGTACCATATACTATAAATCATCTCACTCTGAAAATACGTAGCTTAATTTGTGTGGTTAATTTGTTGCATTGCAGGTAAGATATATAGGGATGAAGGTGCATCAGCAGGTGAACTAGTGGTACTTGCACTAGCTCATGCTTTTTCACTATTTGCCGCTGTTTCTGCTAGCGCGCATGTATCAGGTGGCCATGTGAATCCAGCTGTCACTTTTGGTGCACTTATTGGTGGTAGAATCTCAGTTCTTAAAGCTGTTTATTACTGGATTGCTCAGCTTCTTGGTTCTGTTGTAGCTTCTCTTTTATTGAGGCTTGTCACTAACAACATGGTATAATATAACACTACTCATTTCCACTTTGCTATTTTCAATCCATCAGCAAAACTCCAGAACTAATACACGGACACATTTTTTCAGAGGGGTCGGTGCTACAGAATTGATAACTAACTATTGTATTGTGTTTACCTCTTATAGAGACCACAGGCCTTCAATCTGGCGAAAAATGTTGGTGCGGGACACGGGCTTCTACTTGAGATTGCGATGACATTTGGTTTAATGTATGTTGTATATGCTACTGCCATTGATCCCAAAAGAGGCACCATTGGCTCAATTGCACCCTTAGCAATTGGACTGGTTGTTGGAGCAAATGTTCTAGCTGGTGGGCCATTTGATGGGGCATGCATGAACCCTGCTCGGGCTTTCGGGCCTGCTTTAGTGGGCTGGAGATGGGATTATCATTGGATCTTCTGGGTGGGTCCATTGATTGGAGCAGCAATAGCAGCGGTTATTTATGAATATATTATGGTTCCAACTGTGCCTTCTCAGACTCATCCTCAAAATCAACCTTTGGTTGCTGAAGATTACTAGTTACTTTGATTATATAATGTGTTATGTCAAATGTGTGTATGTAAAAGTCTCTACTCTTTTCTTTTTAATTTCTTTTGTTGCTTCCTAGCTTATGAAATGTCCATGCTACTATTGAATAAAATTGAATAAAGTGTGAGCCTTTATCACTTCAAAATTCAAATGTAAACAATGTTCTAAATTTGCAACATTCGAATTGAATCACATCTTCAATTCTACAGTGACCTCATTTCATGGGCTATTAGTTTTGTAAGAACATGAAACATTAATGGAGGTGGTTTTCTCTTTGTGAAGAAGATGAAGTGAGAAAATAACTGAATTAGTGTGAGAAAATAACTGAATTAGTGTGAGAGAGTAATTGAGGGCGAGAAGAGAAATTATTATTAATTTGAGATTTTATATTACAAAGTATTTATACCGGTTATCTGAATTATATTTTGCATCTAATATATTACTTTAATTTAAGTGCTCTGTTCTTATTTTCAATTATTTGAACATATTATATTTGTGATTTCTTTAGTTAACAAATCAGTAACTTGGTTTTTAGTTTGACAATATTTCAGTTTTAACTTGCTTTCATTTAAACTCTCTCACGTAGTAAAACATCATTTCAATATATTTGTTCTTATTAATTAAGAGTGTGACAATATCATCCTTAAGTTTCTACTTCATTAGCTATAAGGTTTGATACGCATATAACGATGCGGCCTCACAAGATGAGTATTAACTACTTATTTCTTCTTAGAATACTATGAAAATAGTGTTCTCCGCATCAATTGGTATTGGTAAAATAAAGTAAATTACATTTATACCTGTATCTGTTTCTTCTTAGAATACTATGAAAATAGTGTTCTCCGCATCAATTGAAATTGGTAAAATAAAGTAAATTACATTTATACCTGTATCTATTGTGGGAAAGAGTTTCGCAGTCAATAGTTCTTCTGACGTATCTTAGGATTTTTTTGACTGCTACCAAATGAGACACATTCGGTCTCTCCATGAATCTATTAGTAATATCGATGTTAAACGCTAAATCTGACCGCAAATTATACAAGTAACATAATGATCCAATCGATCTCCTATATTGAGTAGGATCTACATTATGTTCGTCCTCACTTTTGAACAGCTGCAACCTTGTTTCAGTTGGTGTTATGTCAGCATTATAATGCTCTATATCACACCTCTTTAATATTTCAAGAGCATATATTCTTTAATGCATAAGCAATTCCATTTTTGACTTGAGAAACTCTATATGCCATGTAAGTATGTCATAATCTCAAGTCACTCATCTCAAATTTTTTCATAAACTCACTCTTGAACTTAGAAATAATCTTTTCATTGTTGTTCGTAATCAACATATCATTCACATATAGACAAAGCATGATCACACCTTCAATTGCATCCGACTTCACATAAAATGCATGCTCAGAACACATTTTTTGAAGTCAACGCCAACTAAAAAACCATCTATCCATTTGTTCCAAGATCTCGAAGGTTACTTCAAACCATATAATGCTTTTCTCAACTTGTAGAATCTATCATCTTGATTCTTCACAATAAAACTAGGGGTGTTCTACATACATCTTTTCTTCAAGCGGACCATTCAAAAATGCGGATTTCACATCCATATGATAGATCAACCAATTATTGTTATTCACAATGCCAATAACTAGTCTTATGGTTTCAAGTATAGCAACTGGTGCAAACACCTCATCGAAGTCTATATCTTCTCTTTGCAAAAATCCCTTCACAACTAATCATGATTTATATTTGATTATCTCACATATGAGATTTGTATGCACTTTATAGACTCATCTCACACCAATTGACTTTTTACCTTTCGGAAGATCGACTAACTTCTAGGTACTATTTTTCTCAATCGATTTCAGCTCCTCTTTTATTGCACAAGCCCACTTTGGATCACTTAATGCCTCTTCCGTGTTAACGGGCTCAGATTCGATCATAAGCGCAAAGTGAACGAAATCACCATCATTATTGATCTCTTTATCTCGGAATATCTCACAATCTTGAAGTCTTTGAGGCAAACCTCTTTGCCTAGTTGGTCATCTAGCATTTTCCTTTGTCTAAGCTTCGACATGTTGTTGATCTGAACTTTCTGCAGCTTGATAATTCAAAATTTGTGCCTGTAACCAGTTACATTATTCTGGTAACCGGTTACCACCTCTGTCAAACATGTTCTAGACAGTCCAAAATCCAGAAAATCAGACCTGTAATCGGTTACATGATTCTGGTAATAGGTTACCACACCTGTCAAACCAGTTACAGACAACTCGAAATGCTTCATCTCGTCAACAACAATATTCTGACTGATCATAATCTTCTTGTTTGTAATATCAAACAACTTATAAAATCTAGTAGGGTGATAACCAACAAATAACATCACCTCACCTTTGTCATCCAACTTCTTTCTAAGCTAACTCAGAACATGTCGATACACCACAGAACCGAACACTTTCAAATGCTTCATATTTGGTTTAAATCCAGACCATGCTTCTTCTGGAGTTACCTTCTCAAGCTTCTTTGTATGACACATATTCAACAAATAGGCAGTTGTGGAACAACTTCTATCCATAGCTCTTTCGAAAAGTTTTTCCCTTTTAACATGTTTCTCATTGTGATCGGTGGATCTGGAACTGACTGTTTAACGCTGGTTCGCGAAATGTCGCGGAAGCAAGAGTCGCCACCGTCTTTTATTTTCTCCAAATGGAAAGGACAAAAGCACAGAAAAATTCCTTATAGAGATTGCTCTCGGTTCGGGAGGTAGGTTATAGAAAGGGAAGGTGTTAGCACCCTTTCTATCCATGGTTATCCATGGGCTCTTAGATACTTGCTCACTTGTGTTTTCAAAATGGTTTGTTTGCTTTTCAATGTGGGTTTTAAAAAGTTTCTTTGAAAATTCCAGTTCGACTCTTGTATCGGTCCTCAAGAGTGTTTGAAAAATTGCTTTTGAAAGCTTTTGAAAATGTGTCGGTGTGAAAAGTATTTTTGAATTTGTTTTGAAATTAGAGCAAGTATCTACGAGTTCTCTACCTACCCTAAGGAATTCGTCTGTGTAAATGTCCTTTAAAGTAGTGCCATCCCACCATTGAGAGGTAGGTAGCACCACCGTTGGAGGTGTTCGGGTCAATTCGATTAAGGGACAGTGTGGCCACCAAGCAAAGGGAAGACACCTTAGAAGCTACCCTCATGCCAGGTTCCCGGATAATGAGGACTTACTAAGACGTCCTCTACTCGACGATCACCTTTCGAAGGCAAGGCAACAGTGAGGCGTACCCTAGGGGTGGTGTATGCGATTCGTGTGTCATGTTCATTTTGCATTTGTCTTGTCATATGATTGGTGTTCTACGCTTGTTTTTATTATGGCCATTCATTCTTGCATGCATATTTAACAGTTTAAAAGTTGCGAGGAAAATAAATCTAAAGCTATTACAAATGGCGCGGGTCCACATCACCAAAATTAAACCGGACCCGATTTGACGGAAAGTAAAGAAATTAAAAGTACGGAAAGCTAAATTGTCCGAGTTACATGGCTTTGGGAGAGGTACATGATTATTTAAGCGAAATAAAATAAATACGCGAATTAAATAATTAAAAATATGGGCGTTGGACCCTTTTGCAAAATATTAAATTACAAGAATTAATTAATTAGAATTAATGAGGAATCAAAATTAATGTTAAAAGCAAATGTTTTTGGTATTTTTAGTGTTTTTTAGATTTAATAGAAAAAGAGAATTAATTAAAATTAAAATAAAAGAGCTAAACCTAATTCTAATTGTTTTTAAATTTATTATGAAAGTATTAAAATTTAACCTAAATTAAACCTAAATTTTTTATGTACAATTTAATTATGAAAATAAAATAAATAATATTATTATTGTGACAAAAAGAAAAATTGAAAGGAATAAAATTTATTAAACCTAAATTCTATGTTTTTTTGGATTTTTGGTTATTAAAAAAAAAGAATTAAAGTTAAAACCTATTTTACTAAATTTATTTACATGCATTTGTTCACAAAAAATAATTAAAATAAATAAATATTATATTCTTCTCTTTTTTCTGATTTTTTGTGTATTTTATAATTTGTAAAATATAATTAATTAAATTAAAACAACTGAATAAAATAAAATAACGATTAACAATAAAATGAAAATAAGTAAAAAAAGAAAGAAATTGCAAACCAGGGGGGGTTCAGGCCCAATTGTGAGGTACAGGCTTCAGAATGCTGGCCCATTAAGCTTTTTAGTTTGTGTGCCAGCGCGTTGACCTGGGCTTAGCGTGTGTTTCCAATCTCAGCCTTTGGATGGATCTTTAAGTGGACGTGGCACGTTGGATTGGAGAGACGTATGGTAGTTGCTAGCGCTGAATCTGCATGGGATAATATATGGAAAAATAACATAGAAAGTAATGAAGACCTGGGATTCGAACCCAGGTCTTGAGCTTTGCCAATCCTTATGCCTGCCAGCTGAACCAAATTGCTTTTCTGTAATTAATGTAACAAACAAATATAATGAAATAAACAATACGCTAGTGGGTCCTTGCGCGCGAAAACTTGAATAGGCCTATCACCGTGCGCCACGACTTTGTCTTCTCCACGTTCCCTGTAACACAAAAACATATAGGCAACGGTTTATGCTGCGTTTTCTTAGGCTAGCTACGCGAAAATAGCGATTAAGCCTATGTTGTTCAGAAATTGGGCGCGATGGTAGATTCTTGTTCGTCCAGGCCTGCTGAATGGAATGGTGGTGGTCTAGAGTCCTGATTTTACTTCGTTTTGAAAGCCCCAAATCCAACCTCTGAAAACCCTAGATTTCAAGCATGGTACAATCGCGTATACAGCATAAAAATCAAATTGAATGCAATGGTTAGCTTCACAATCAAATGAGGAATAAGAATCAACAATTAAATTTCATAAAAAATGCATAGAACATGATATGCGTTCATGAGTTTTTTGCTGTACAGTCGAAGGTCTCGTTACCAATTCC